CCTATAAAATGATGGGCAAATGAAACAAGTTATATTATTTAAGATCAATTTTCTTAAAATTAACAATTAGAGTGCTTCTAAAAAATAAGCTTTATGAAAAGGGTACAAGAAAAGCACCTCTCTGTTACTACTGTGGAATGTATGTGAAACTAAAAATTATTCTGATTATAAGTAACATAATGTAACTTTCTTTACTTACAAGGACGTATTTCGTTTATTGCCTGCCTGCCGGTACGTACAACCCGTTCCTTTTACATACATTACCGGCTGCGCATTTGGTATCTTATAGAATACCTAGGCAAAGTATAAAACAAATAATATTTCAAACATTACCTACACGGTATTCTATACATTACCTAGGTATTGTATAGAATACCGGATTATACAGATTGCCGATAACACATATTTCTCATATGCAATGGTTCAGGTATGTGAACGAAGCTTTACAGCCTTCTATTGGTGATATCTGAATTGCTACATGAAGGGTTGGAGTTAAATACTAGGTGATAATAGAGTAAAGCTTGCTTATTTGTACCATTTAGCATGTTTTTGAAATAACTCATAAATTACTTATTTGAATTGAATGAGAATTTATAGCCAGATCATTTTACATGTTTCTATCAAAATGCAGAGCAAAAAACTTAGTTAAATGCCGAGTATTTAAAATACTAGATTTTTTTTAAAATGGTGCATGTAAACGGTAGAATTTATCAAATCGGCTCGTTAAGCTGTACCACACAGTTCATAAATTGTACCATAACAGAAATTGCATCAAGTTGGTTGACTCTGCACTTCCTAGTTGCTTATGAGGAAAAGAAATCAGCTATGAATATGTAGCACAGATAATACCTTTGACGAAATAATAAGGGGTAGCAGCACCATCAACGTCACTAATATTATGACAAGGTATTTGAGGTTATTGTCAAGTATGAAACGACAACTACCTAGACAACAAGCAGCTGTTCAGCGTCAGTAATGACCTAGGTAACAAGGGTGACGTGATTGTGACTTTAGATTTGTTTTTGTGGGAAGCCGTTTAATATAGCCATTTGCTCGAATAAAATACATTTTTCCAATTTTATATTGTTGAAAAATGGGCAAATAAATATAAGTCTACAGAAAAGATTGCCTGTGTATGGTTATATTAGTATAATATCCTACAGACAAAAATCATATGTGTATAACAAATATAATTAATTCTAAAAAGTATTTACATAATTTAGAATTTTGCAGTTTTGGTTTTCTGTATAACTAAACTCAGTCTTCCAATTTTCGCTTAATTTGTTTCCAAATTTAAGTGCCCTTATTTCATGTGGTACTACATTACCTATATAATTCATCTGCTAAAACTTTAAGTGATCTTTTGATTAATTTTTGTGTGGCCTTTGGATAGTAGATGAAATCGTGCATCATGCTGGTGTGTATAGGTATTTATTTTGTTCATTACAATGTGCTAGCATGTAAGAAATAAAGCTGCCTACTATCAACTATCCTCGTTTCCTTATCTAAGTTGTTTGATGGATATAATCTTGGCTTATGGTAAATGGCTGTTGAAACAGTTTTTTGTGTTACATCTAGATCAGAAAAATATGTCCTGCAGGTGGCACACCAGGCTATGATGTAATATTGCCATGTATTATATGGGGTACAACTAACTTACTATAAGAATTTTTGCATTTTTAGTTTATAGGCAACATTTCTAATTTTTTGATAGCATATGTATTATGGTTATCTCACCCTAAATGTGGGTCTGTAAATACTTCAAGACATTTCAAAGTGTTAACTCGATTTTTGGTTATGATAATATTCAAATTTTTTACCTAGCTTCGAACAAATTTCTGCTAGATATGTGAATACGACAAATTTTGATTTTATGAAGTTAAGTGTTAAAATGTTACTATCAAACCATCTAATGATATCTATAAAATATTTTTCAGCGATTTGCTTTGGTGTAGTTTAGTCATCAGCTTAATGTAATATGAAGGTGTCGTCTGCGAAACACAATCTTCCCAGAACCCTAATTTTTAAATAGAGATCAAATAGTAATGGGCCTAGTACTGTTCCTTGAGGCACACCTCACTTGATGTACACGTTTTCACTGAAAGTGGTAGAGATTTTGACAGTCTATGTCCGACCTGAAAGGTAATTTTGTAACAGTACTTGTGTTTTTTCCCTAAATCCCAAACTGGAATCAAACAGGATTGCATCACCTCTGTGTAATATACTAAGTGACATATAAATTCGAACACCCAGTTTAAATGGTTTTATTTTAATAAAATTTTGTATAAGTACTTAATGAAGCATAATAAGTAAATGATAAAAATTTCTTTAAAGCCCTTTGACCTTTAATAATGTGTGGATGCACCCTGATGTGCTACGCATTCTCCAACGCGCCTAGGCATGCTTCTGATCAGGTGGTCAATGTCCTCCTGTGGTATCTCATTCCAGGCAACCACCAACTCCTCTCGAAGTGCTTCTAGAGTCTGAGGAGGACGTTGCAAATTGAGCAATCTCCTACCCATCATATCCCACACGTGCTCAATTGGGGATAAGTCGGGAGATCTTGGTGGCCATGGTAACAATGTGACATCATTATGTTGAAAGAAGTCTATTGTGACTCTTGCAACATCTGGTCGGGCATTATCTTGTTGGAAAGTTGGATCTGCCAGGGTGTCAAGATAGGGTAAAAGATGGAGTTCTAGAACTTCGTGGATATAACGCTGCGCATTTATGTTACCTTTGATGAAGATTAAAGGTGACCTGGAACCATAAGCTATAGCACCCCAAACCATAACTCCAACAGTGTGATGAACATGTCTTTCAACAAAAAACTGTGGATTCCTCCTTTCACCACGTCGCCTTCTAACCCTGGCACGACCATCGTGCATGCCTAAACAAAATCGAGACTCGTCACTAAAGACAATACTGTTCCATTCCTGATCCCAGAGTGACCGTTGTCTGCACCACTCAAGGAGATTACGTCGGTGTTCTCGAGTTAAAGGGAGGACCCAGTGTGGCCGGTATGAAAACAAGCCAAAACTTCTCATTCGTTGGTAAACACTTCGCATGCCAATAGGTCTTCCGTGTTCTGCAAGCCATTCATTTGCAATGGACCTGGTAGTGGAGAAACGGTCCCTTAAGGCCAATAATCTTAGGCGGCGATCTTCACGGTCTGTTGTTCTACGGCGGCGTCCAGTGCCCCTTGCTCTTTGCGTACGGCCTTCTCGAAGCCATGCCTGACAACTCCTAACCACAGTGTCTACACTTCTTTGCACTCTAACTGCAATTGCCCGAAAAGAAGGTCCAGCTTCCCGAAGTCCCACTATACGGCCCCTATCAAACTCACTTGACGAAATCGTACAGGTCTCCGTACTCTAGGCATCGTAACCGATCGTAAAGGATGTCAAGAACCAAAATCCGCCAACGTTGATTCTTTACTGCGGCTGAAATATCCATTTTTAGAGCGTTAGTGAATTAAAAAAAAGCAGTATAAAAACCGGAAGGTCCAACTGATAAGGCTGAAAATTTTTTGACTTGTTATTTACAGTAAGATAAATACATTCACCAACTTTTATTAAAATAAAACTATTTAAACTGGGTGTTCGGATTTATATGTCGCTTAGTATACTAGGATCCCGAACCTTCGCTTTTTTGGCATTTTGGGTCTGATAGAGGTCATTATAAAGCGATCCGTGGAAATGAGATGCATTAAGCGGCTGCACAAGTCTTCAAAACCCAGATATTTCTGAAAATATCTGACTCTAGATTACTGGTCAGTCAAACGAAATTATTCACTTTTGTCATTGCAGTATCGATGGCCACCGTTCATGAGACAATCAAAGACATAACAACCATCTAATCTGAGTTGAATTATTTTGCATTGGGCATAATATCAATTTCATATGGGTATTAAACACACTGCCACGCAAAATTAACCTCTGCATCAATTTCGTTAATTTATTCGACAAGTTGTAGGTAATTTCATTTTCAGCGTTATTGAATGTGAAAGCAGTGAATTAGTGAATAATGTGCTTCTGTATGAGTACGATATTCGTACGATACAAAGATTTAGAGAAACTGGTTCTTACTGAAAAAGACCTGGACAGGGAAGACGGAAAGACACAAACGCAGTTGAAGAACGGTTTCTGAGAGCAATGACTCGAAGATTGGATGATGTTCAAGGACCATAGTTTCACCTGATACCGTACGCTGAAGGTTCAGAGAAGGAAATCTATCATGTTGTGAGCCTGATACAGGTCCTCTATTGGATGTAGTCATCGAAGGTAGCGCTTGGTGTTTTCCCGAACTCATGCAGATTGGGATATGGATGACTGAAAAAACGTTCTTTTTACAGACGAGTGTCGTTTTACGAGATATTCACCTGATGGTCGCCAAAGAGTGTGGAGAAGGCGTGGAGAACGCTATGCTCAAAGTTGTTTCGTCGTTTCTATGCCAGAGAGGATGATATCTATTATTTATGCCTGGGGAGGAAATACTCGTTTTTGATAACAATTTCTAATTACCAACGATGTCACTGTAATTTTTCAAGTTAAATTGTTTGTGGCCATGATTCGCATGATTTTCTTCAAAACAGCATGTATTCTTCAATAATTGAGATATTGACATGGATAAAAAAAAAAACGGTTGACAAAAGTTAAGGCTTTAAGATTTCATACCATGACAAATTATTCAGTAATCCAATTTTTCCACAGCGTGTTCAGAAATTTACGGCAAAATGCACCTTTTAGTTACACCCTGTATAACAACAAAAATTTTCAATTTTTTATAGATCGATAGTCGGTAATGATGACATTGAAATTACCTTCAACTTGACGAAAAAATTAACGAAATTGATGCAAAGGTTAAAAAGTTATTTAAAATTTAATTTGACCAAAACTTTGTCCGGTTTATTGCGCGGGGCAGTGTATTTTTAACTTGTACTACGACTTCAGCCGAATTGTATCAAAACTTTTCGTAGTATAAGAGATAATCCTCCGTGACTACTGTTTGCTTAACTAGAGATGAGCTCCTAGTACTCCGTTTATATCTGGTTAGAGAGAACATGCATGTTCTTATGCTTGTGGTCTGGTAGTAATTCGTCTGGCTGATTAGCCTGTGCAAGTACCAGTCTGGGAAGTCTGGGAAACGGTAAGTTGCACTGAACTCCGCGCTCCTACATATCCGCAAAAAGTCTGCATCCCCATAGGACAAAACACTTGTCCGGGTATACTGTAGTGCTGTGTTAATTTCAGTACCAGCATATTATACAATTTTGCGTTCACTTACAATGCCAATAGGCCAGGAAAATCTAGTCCGTGGCAAATAAAATAGAAAACCGGGTAAACATGATTTTAATCGAATAACATTTTATATGCAATCCAGCATAAGCAAAAGGAACTAGTAACTAGGTTTTGAAGCGGAAATACTCACTGTGAAAGAGGTGATTTATGACTTTTTGAGATATCTCATAACATCAACAAAGCTTCTGGACCGGTTTTGAGAGCGGAGCTTGCTCTAGTTCTTCTGATTCTCTTCCAGATATCTCAAGAATTCGGTACTTTCTCAGAACACTGGAAATTTACGTTGGCTATCCCATACCAAAAAAAGATCTCTACAACTACAGTCCTATATCTCTGCCTTCTGTTGTGTCCATAAAATCGTATCACACCCTTTTTCTATCACGATCTGAAAACGTAACACGCTTTTATTTGAAAACTCGAGATGAGAGACACTTGCTTGGGGTGCTGCTCCTACCAACCAGATCAAGAAGATACTGATAATCCAAAACCAATATTTGAAAATCGTTTCTAAGCGACCAATTCTATATACATCTATGTCAGAGTTTCCCAACCTTTTTTTGTTGAGGCACCCCGGACATGCCCCCTTTACTTTTTCAATAAATACAAAAAACGCACATTATACAGGGTGTTTCAGTTTATTGTTGCATAACTTTAAGATTCGATAGAACTTTTAAAATTAATGCATAAAGTCTATATAAACATGTGTCGAAAAATGCGTGGCTTCCAAAATACAGGGTGTTTAAATTTACTTTTTAAAATAGTTTTTTTAAAATATTTCGAACAATATTTGATGTATAACAGTGAAAATTGGTATACAAGGGTTTTTTGGTACGACAAAACGAACCATGGGCATAGTTTTACTGTAGCTAGAGGGCGCTCTGTAGTGTACCTGTAGTGTATTAAAATGACCCAAAATTTTTTCTTAGTGCAATTTTTTGCTTTTTGAATAAAAAAACTGATTCTTCGCACTTTTCTGCATAAAAAAGCTCTCCTGTGAGTTTACATTATAGTGAACCGTTTTTGAGATCTTTCGATTTTTAAGGTTCGATACATTTTTAATTATTTATGGGAAAATAATATTTTTTTTACATTTTCGATTTGGGCATTCCAAGTAATTAAGATGATTGTTTAGATTGTCTTTTTAAACACAGCAATAATTCCTAACTCCAAATAAACCCAAAAAAAAACAGAATATTAATTTGTTTAATTTTCCAATATTTATTTTAACAAATTCAATTAATTATTTACAACTAAAATGCTATTGGATAGTCAGGACAAACATACAGAATCTAAAGTAGTTGTCCGAAATGTAAACCCAATTGTTCAATACACAATTCACATATACGAATGATCGAACGTGGTATAGCAGTATTCAAATAAGGCCTTATTTCATCACATGCATTCCTGATTCTGTCTATTAGCATATCTCTTGTGGTTACGGGAGTCTGGTACACTTTTCCTTTTAGAAATCCCCACACAAAGAAATCTAATGGATTTAGGACAGGGAATCGTGGAGGCCAGGCGACTGGTCCTCAACGGCCGATCCATCTTTCTGGATAATTTTCGTCCAGCCAGTTTCTAACTATTCTCGATTAACGACCTGAACAACCGTCAAGCTGGAACCAGGCCAATCTTCTTAAATCTAACATAACATCATCCCACATATTTGCATGTTCAGCCTTTAAAAATTCCAAGAAGGTCGCAGCATTTAACCTTCCAGGCAAAAGGTAGGGTCCAAATAGTCGACTACGGTAGATACCAATCCACACGTTCACACTAAATTCATGCTGAAAATTTCTTTCCCAAACTGCATGCGGATTTTCATGCGACCAAATATGTTGATTATGAAAATATACCACACCACGTCTAGTGAAGCATGACTCATCGGTCCATAAAACGTTACTTAAAAACTCCCTATTATTATCAGTTCTAAGAATCCACTGACAAAATGTGATTCTTCGTTCTCCGTTCTCCCATCCCCGTTGTACAGGTTGCAAATGGTAAGGACGTCTATGGTCATTTCTAAGAACACGGTGAACATGGCTTGCTGAAATTTCCAAGGCACCAGAAACTCTCCTAACACTTGTGGTCGGATTTCTGTCAAACTCACGCAGAATCATACGGGTAAATCTACGCTGACGAATATTTATGTTTTGATCCCTTTGGAGATTTCCAAAACCATTTTCAATTATTTGGCGATGCACTCTTAAAAATACTGAGCGCGTTGGATGTCGTCTGTTTGGTAATCTTCGTGCGTATTCTCTGGTTGCTTCTGCTGCGTTTCCATTTACAAAGCCATACACAAAATGAATATCCGCTAACTCTTGATTGGATAATAAAAATGGCATTTTTATAAAACTTACAAAAAAAAACAGGTAAAGGAAACTAAATTTCGTACATTCACAATTGCAAAAAAACGTTTCAGGTTTCAACAGACAACAAAACTAACTTTCAACTAATTGACGCTTAACCTTATTCTGGTTTCGATTTAAAAACTATTTGCAGGCACAGCCTACTTCTAAAAATTATCGAGATACTGACTTTTTAACGTTATTTTATCATAAATAAATAAAAAAGCATCGAACCTTGAAAATCGGAATATCTCAAAAACTATAACGAAAATTCACAAGAGAGCTTTTTTATGTTGAAAAGTGCGAAGGATCAGTTTTTTTATTCAAAAAGCAAAAAATTGCACTAAGAAAAATTGTTCGGTCATTTTAATACACTACAGGTACAGTAGAGGGCGCCCTCTAGCGGCTGCAGTAAAAGTAGGTCCATGGTTCGTTTCGTCGAACCAAAAAACCCTTGTATACCAATTTCACTGGTATACATCAAATATTGTTCGAAATATTTAAAAAAAAAATACTTTACAAAGTAAATTTAAACACCCTGTATTTCGAAAGCCACTCATTTTTCGACCCATGTTTATATAGACTTTATGCATTAATTTTAAAAGTTCTATCGAATCTTAATTTTATGCAACAATAAACTGAAACGCCCTGTATGGGTACAAAGACTTTTATTTTAATTCTAATAAAGAAACTTTAAAAGTTTAAATAAACTAATGAATATTTTCTATCGAAAGACTTGAATAAAATAAGGGTAGGTAAGAGACACTTGAGATTGCATGTTCTGTACCAGTTGGTTGATTCTAGGATTTGTTTTTGCCAGAGCTATCATCAGGTTGCTATCGACATCAAGGCGATTTCGCTGTTTAGTTTTAAATGAAACTAGAGCAGAAAAGCTTGTCTCATAAGTAAGTTGAAGAAAAAGGAACCAGTATTCGTAAAGTAAGAGAGGCAAGTGTCGAATTAACAGGCAATCTTTTGATCAAAAATTTCTCCAATGTCAAAAGATGGAAGTCATCTTTCATGAACAAATCAGCCTTCATTTCTAGAAATTCTTCCTGAACTTCTGGGAATTGTGACATATCGACAACAAATGGATTTCTTGTCATGTGCCATATTGGTGACTCTGAATTGATGTTTCGATAGTATCGGCGAAATTCGTCTTTCAGCGCTTGCAAATGAGTTTCCATGTCTGCTTTTAAATTTGCGTCCAGTATGTTATTTTTCCATTTTCAGAAGACACTTTTTGACTCCAAAGTTGAAGCTTTGATATGAACCCCTGAATATAATTACAATCCTTATAGCCGAGTCGAAAGTCTGGCGTAATTTCTGTGGAAATGTTTTGGAAGCCAAAGCTTAACACAATGTGTACTAACCACTGCGGGATTTTTTCCTTGAGCTTTTTAGCTAGACCCGATCGTACACCTATCATTGCAGGTGTGCCATCTGTGCAAAGTCCAATGAGTTTCTTCCAACCCAAATAATTTTTTTCAAAAAAATTTGCTGCGATACACTTGTGTGATAACTTCCGATTTATCCAGTCTCATCCGCTTGAGTGATTCTGCTTTAGAAGAAAAAAACTATTTCATCTTCAAAACCAGAGTAGGATGTTGTTGCTTCATACATATCACACACTGAGGCAATTGTAACTCGTCTTCTTCTATGAAGGTAAATCCAAACTCAACGTAATCTTCAGAAAACTTTCTTTTCTTCGCTGCCATTTTGCACCTATAACAATAAAACAAATATGTAATAAATAAACAAGCAAAATACCTACATGTATTTACTAATTATATGCCCATTATTATATCTTAACAACGTAATGTATTCAACAGTATATTGGCCACCGGGAGATTTACATTTTTGTAGGTAGTATAATAGTAACTTTAAATACATTTGGAATCAATATTAGGTACTTAAAGGTCGTCCTTTAAAAATTATTTTACCAGGTTGATTTGATTGTGATGTGGTAAAAAAGTCCCAATGGCTGATCTATGAACACATCTCCACTGAATCAAAAATTCAGTAAATTAAATAAAAACGGTAACTGAAGTTTGCAAATACACAAACTTACCCTTTAACAGTGAAATACAATAAATTGTCACACTCATACAGATTTCTCAACAAAGCATGTACATCGAAATGTCAAATTCTTCGCAAGTTTATGGGAATGAATGTCAGAGATGCTCATCTGGTAGATACAAAATTGTTTTCTAAGTGATGAATGTTAAGCGGAGCGCGGCGGGGGTGCCCGCGGATTTCGTGTTGTGACTTGTCGAAAATTTGTATAAACTGCGATTGACGATTCTAATTTTATGCGTGTAAATTAAACATTACACTGTAATGTTACTTGTTAATGTTGTTTGTTATTTTTTTTTGTTTTTTCTTTCTTTTTTGCAAACGCCTTCCGTCCCCCCTTGTCATCTCTCTATGCCCCCCTTGGGAGGCGCGCCCCCCTGGTTGGGAAGTCCTGATCTATGGTATATTACGAAGTGGGACTACTTGATCGTATGCAACTCTTTTTTCACAATGTAATCATCTACTCGAAAATACAAAAAATATCATTTCATTGTACCACAAGTATGAAACAAGAAGTGAAGTTGAAGATATTAAAGCGACTCCATTTACAGCGAGAAATGTAGATTAAAGATGCTTCAGTGACCTCTCGACTAGATTTTGTAACTGTCTACGAAGTCGTATAAAATCCATTTCAAATAAAAATAGATTCAAAATTAAAATAAAGAAATTCTTGTTATTCAAAGATCGAGAAATGGCAACACTGAGTCAAACGAAAGTTAATTAAGGTTTGAATATGACGTTATTACAATTACCTTTATGTTTATATTGTGGTCAAATATGTCGGCGTTACTTAGGTATGTACCATTACTATAAATTGAACAGACGATTCTTTGAGTAATTTCAAGACGAAAAGTTCATTGTAAACACAGGTCTCCAAATTCTCCATTCTCAAGATACAAGGGGTTAAAATTAAAAAAAGGTTTTTTGTAAATTTTTTAAATATCCCTCAACTAATTTTGTTGTAATTTCGCAGTGGTATTTATAACATTGAGGAGCTAATTTAGGCCTAACATGATTAAATTTATCAAGTCCAGAGGCGTCTTTTGTAACGAACTATGCACGCTACTGACTTTTATGCAATTTTTATTATGTTCTTTCGTATCTTGCTCCCTCGAGAAAAAAAATTATACCTAATTGCATATCTCTGGACCACACAAGGACTATGGGAAAAAGCTAAGTCGAAAACAATGCACACCCCTTAATAGAACATAATTTTCAAGAATAGTTTCTTTGAATATTTGGGATGGAATTCTCATGATCTTCTACCTAGACTTAATGGAGAAGAATTCCGAAGGTTTTTAGAATTTTTTTTACCTGGACTCTTAGAAGAGGTTTCAGTCATGGACGTATTCCGTACGACATGGTTCCACCTCGCTTCAGTGTAGTGCCGCTGCTATTCTTGGATCAATTTTACCATAATCGCTAGATTGGGAGAGCAGGCCCACACTTAAGTATAGAACCCTGGCTCGCCCGATAGGAATTCGACAGATTATTTTCTCTAGGAACACCTCAACTTCTATTGAAACTAAAGAGGATTTACGGCATAGAATCATTAATTCATGAGGCATAATAAAAAATACGCCAGGTATTTTCAGGAGAGTGTGTAATTCAATGATGGGGCGGCTAGACGGTTATATTGTAGCGGAAGGGGGCCATTTCCACAACTTAATTTAGTGAAATTTGTTAGTCCAGATGTTGATATTATTTAGTATATGTTGTTATTACATAATTAATCCAAAGAACATAATGAACATTGCACAAGAGTCAGTGGCTTACATTTTTTGTCACAAATCCCACTGGAGACGTCAGTGGACTTAATAGATTTATATAAGTTGAAGCTAAATCAGCTCGTTAATGTTATAAATACCACCGCCAGATCACAACAAAACTCGGTAAGGGACATTTAAGAAATTTACGAAAAACGTTTTTATTAAACTTTAACACCCTGTACATTGAGATCGAAGGATGTGCGGAATTACTCAAAGAATCGCCTGTTAAATTTATGCTATATACAAGCCCCTTCGCACTTCAGTTGGCCCACTTCAAGATTTGTACCAAAATATGCCTTTATAAACTAAACATGATGAAACTATTTACTTCTAAAACAATTTATTTTTTAGATACACTCTAGTCGTAAAAAATACATATCTGAAATCACTTAGATCTATAACTAATAGAACCTCTGAACAAATAAACAATGTGCGAATAAATGCGCGTAGTTAACAAAGCAACAATTGAAAGATTACCATTGGGTAACATCACCTTTATTATTTAGTACGGCTGAAATTCTTTGGGGCATAGTGTTAAGCACGTTTTGTCAAACATTAGGTGTAACCTAATCCCATACGTCGTAGAACCTTTTTCATCTCGTGCCACAAAGTTTCAATAGGTGACAGATCTGGACTGCCAGAAACCCATCTTAAAAGTGATACATTATTTTCTTCCATCCATTTTATAGCCTTTTTTGAGGTATGGCACACTGCATTATCTTGCTGAATCACAAAATCTTGGCCGGATGTCAAACATTCTTCCATCACTGGTGAAAGCGATTCTCCTAAAATTGCCAAATAGTTGTATGTATCCACATTTCCATCAATAAAATGAAGTTTTCCTACTCGTTTTGACGACATACTGCCCCAGACCATAATAGATGTTGGAAATTTCACTTTTCTCTTCAGAAAGTCAACATGGAATGCTTAATTTTTTTTGCGAATAACTCTGCTGGGACTGTCACCAGCACAAACTTCGAATCGGGCCTCATCACTCCATTCTATTGCACACCATTGTTGAGGTGTCCATTGTCTATGTTCTTTAGCCCATCTAAGTCGATTTTTCTTTTGCAGTCGAGTTAATAGTGGCTTTTCTTTGGCCTATAAACAAGTTGTGCAACTTTAGGGTTTTAACCTCACTTTTTTTTATAAGAAAACTTACCTTGCAAGTGCTAACTCCCAGTCTGTGGGCTCCTCTATGAGTTGTGGGTCTCGAAATTCTCCTTCCAACAGCGTCACACCACAGAGCACTTAATTGTAAATAAATAATTGGCACGCCTGTTTTTCACGATTATTGGTCTTCGGTCGGCATTTGTGGTATTACTTTTTTTCACATATCGTGCCTTAATATTAACTGAACCAGTTACGCTATATCTTCTAACAATATTTCTCACACTGTACCGCGATAAGTCTAACCAAGTTGCAATTTCTGAGTTTGATTTGCCAGAAATAAAAAAAAAAATTATCAGTAACCGAATTTTCTCACTAATAACCTTTCCTCTACCCATTTTGAAAATCTTAACTACCCAAAACGATTTTAAACGTATTCTGGCAGCTGTGATTAATAAAACCAATTGTCATGGCTTTTATTTTTCACAGCCACCTATGCGTGATAGACTTATTTTGCATTGAAATGAAAATAGGTTGATATGCTTTCAACTTGTGTTATTTTTATGCTGCAAATTTGATTAGGGAGTGATAAAGTTGGTGTTTTCTACTATATATTATCAAAATATTCATTGATAACATTTCAAACCTATAACACCCTGCTACATTTTTATTATTTGTGTTTGATAAGAAAAAACTAAGATTTCAATAGTTGTATTGACTATGTTTAATGCAAAAAAATTAATAGCTGTTCCTACACCCGCAAGAATAATACTCTTCTGGGCGGCTACTTGAGTTTGTTTCCGTACAGTATATAAATTTCGAATAAATTGTAATAGTTTATAAGCTCAGAAACTTATATTATTATTATTTATTTGTGTCCAAGATATACGAGTAGATACAAATTAATCTGCGATCGACTAAAGTCAAAGATTAGAATGCATTTTAAGTGTAATTGGAAAAAAGCCGTACCATTATATAAATAATGTGCCTAGATAATAAGGGTGTCAAGGGACTGGAAAGAGTCTATTGAATACCACACTTTATATTATCGGATGTTTAGGATACTGTTGTTTCAGATATGGAGAACAGTGAGGCCATAACCAGTGACCAATGCGGAAGGGTGCTTTGTAACTACTTGGGCCACAACCAATTCAAAAATGTGACATACACGGTGACCCCTATATCTAAGCTGGACGGACTCATTGGAAAACAACACCACCTATCTATCAGCTACGAATTAGATAATCGGAGGAGAACCAAACGGTTTTTCCTTAAAACGTTGAACGAATCTAACCCAGTGATGTTAAAGATATCCAAAGAAATAATGGCTTACGAGAAAGAAGCCTTCTTCTATGAAACGTTGGTACCATTACTCACCTCTAAAGATATTAAACTTGGTAATGTGAGCCCAAAGAGCTATCTATGTGAAGATGGCATCATAGTGCTAGAAGATCTTGGATCGAAATCGTATAAATCGACTGAGAAGAGTGAATCCTTAGATGTTCAGCATTGTAAGAAATGTTTGGAAACTGTAGCAGAGTTTCATGCAGATCCTATAATGTTTGAAATACTGAAGTCTAGAGAATTGGGACGATGCTATTATCTTACCGAGGAATATGGGGACATTCTAGATAACAAAGTATTTACTGAAGAAGGTAAATAAAAAAATCGCTACTTAGCATTCTTATATTTCGATTTGTCCGAAAACTAGACGATATTGTTGGAGGAGAACTTACTTTGACAGGGTTAAAGTGCTTTACAATCTATATGTATACAGGGTGTCTCAACCGTGCGACGACTGAGTATTGCTGCTACAAAAAAAGTATTCAAAGAAAACTATACGGATTAGTATATATTATATATTTTATTTCACAATCTAAAGGCATATTTCTAAAATATGTACAATTATACATTATTTTCTTAAGTGGAATGCCTCACTTTTTATTACAAGTTCGGATAGGTCCTTCTAAAAAAACAAGATTGATTTAACGTACAGGGCTTTTGGTTATTAGTTTTTGAATTATTCATACAACAATTTTAGCTTAAGTGATCTATTTTTGAAAAATATTGAGCAAAAATATATATAGAACTCATTCGCAAAAATATAAATGGAACACCCTGTACTTTTTTACAACATCACATCTCCATATTCATGAGCTTTTTTAATATTCAGTTGTTACCGGCTTATTCAAACGGTTTATGCGTCATAGCTATTACAATAATCGGATGTTCCTCTACTCAAACACGTCACATTATCCATGGAAACAAAAAAAAAACAAGTAAAGGATTATTAACAGTCTGTCTATTAAATCTGGCTTCTATCAATAAATCAAGTATTTCAGTGTTTTTGTGTTGTAATTCGTTATTATAGATCAATCTCATAAATTTTTGAATTGTCAGGACACAATGCGTATAAGTATACTAATGATTAAAATTTAAACTGCACTACTATAGAAAATACAAGCATCTTCCCTCGATGTTGAACGTACAATCTAAATAAAAAAAAAGCATTCAATTACTTAGTTTCGTGATAAAAGCCTGATTTTATAGACAGATTTTCAATAATCATTTATTTTTGTTTGTTTGAAACATTAGCTATAAGACCGAAACCGTTTGACCAATGTGGTATTAACCTGGTATTAAAAAAGATGATGAAAATGGGGATCAGATAGTGCAAAAATATACAGGGTGTTCGTTTACTTGTTTGGGAAAAAAGTACGTTTTGCGTTTTTTACCATTGAAAAAACACTGTGTACATAAATGTGGATGTCTTTCCAATCTAACAGCGTTTCGTCTGAACCACAGTACGGACTGACGTTAACATTTTTACATCCGTTAATTGGAACCTCAGGAAGGTTATAGAAATAGCTGCATCCGCGAAAAGATACAGGGCGTTCAAAAAAAAATTGATAGACCAAAGTGTCACAAAAAATGCGTGGCCTAGAGTAAAGTATCCATAGAAAAGTTGTGAGGCTAGAAAAAATTAATTAATTGGTGACCTTGAACGTGACCTTGACTATGATTTTCAAGGACATTTGAAACTCAAAACTATCAGCTTGGCCATGATCTTCATGGGTACTTGAAGGTGTTCAAACAATATGGAAAGGACCAACTATCACAAGAAGTACGTTTCTTAATGAAAAAATCTTGCGTGATAAAGTTGTAAGGCTTAAAAAGATTCATCTAATGGTTACTTTGAACGAGACCTTGACAACTACCTCCAAGCTCATTTGAAGATCAATACAGTTTTCTCAAATCGAAATGCCCAGTTTTGACGTAAAAAGAGCAAGACACTTTATTTTCAACAATGGCCATGACCAAGGTCATTAGAGGATCAAATAGATTTTTAACGGTACACATCCATTTTTAATCTCTGAAATACAAATTGCGGATAACTTGAAGTTAAAGTATATCCTTAGCGATGACCCTGACTATGATCTTCAAGGTCATTTCAGCATTACTTTTTGCCGAGGAAATAAAAAAGCAAAACATTGGAACTAATTTATTGTTGGTCTAGGTTAAACCAGCAGCTCCACTCCCTTGGAAATAGTGTAACGTATAGGTCATTCGTTAGGCATTAATGTGAATGAGAAAGAAATTCAATATTCAAAGTGATTCAGTAGCGATTTTGACAATGAACGTTTTTATCCAAAATTTTGATGCAACAGTCAATTTAAATGTTTCACTTTTTAATATCCCCAATAAGAAGTATGGCGCTTACTCAAAATTTATGTTATTTTAAAATGACCTTGAAGATCGTGGTCAGGCTGTAGATGCTACCCGTTAAGAATTCACTTAATCTTCATATGACCATGATATTCTTAGTTAAAGTCATGGAGGTACCTGAACAAAAGTTTTTTTGACTTTTTATTTCCAGTTTCAAAAATAGGGGATATAATTTGAGGAAAATGTATTCACCTTCAAATAACCTTGAAGATTATAATCAAGTTACATTCTAGGACAGCATGAGATTGATTTTTCTAAGCCTTGCAGCTTTATTACAAAACATTTTCCTATATAAAACGTATCTTTCAAGACACTTCGTTCATTCCTTACTTCCTGGAAAGCCCTCAAACATGCATGAAGGTCCTGGTTAAGGACATGGGCAAATAGAAACTTTAACGTAACATCTTTCGCTGTTTACATTTGCGGAATCAAAAATGGGAGTTTCATTCAAGAAAACTTTCTGTACCTTCAAAACATCTTGACGATCATAGTCAAAGTCGCACTTAAGATCAACAATGGATGAATCTTTCCAAAGCTTAAAATTTTGTTGTACAATATTTTTCTCTAGGAACGTAGTCTTTGAGGTATTTTCACCCATGTCCTTGCAAACCGTGTATACAGGGTGTCCGCAAAGTTGGGGTTTTCCTTTACACGACGTGTAGATCTTGAAAAGATAAGCAATTTTTCTTAGTACCATATACACCAATGTCTTAAGGGAACCGAGATAAAGGTCTCTGCAATATCAAAAATATCTGAATACCGTCCTGTAGCCGCGACATCCCCGACTGGTACTAGGACACTAGCTGAACCCGACGACAGAACTGGGTCGGGGTCAGTGTGTCAGGTCAGTATGCAACCTTCAACCGACGGTTACGGTCATGCGTCTAGAGGCAATCGCGTAGACGAGAATCCCTCAACAAGCACTAGAGACGTGGCTAGAGAAGTGCAAGTATCAACAACTAAAGTGTGGCAAACGCTGCGTGAAGAGGGGCTGTAGCCGTTTCACGTCCAACGTGTACAAGCCCTTCAACCTGACGATTTTCCAGCAAGAGTGCGGTTTTGTGAGTGGTTGTTGCATCAACATGAGAATAATCCGGACTTTTTTAAGTGCATATTGGTGACAGACGAATCTACGTTCACGCGTGATGGGGTGAATAACTTTCGCAACACTCATGTTTGGTCAGTAGAAAATCCGCACGCTGTCCATCGGGCACATTTTCAACAAACATTTTCGGTGAATGTTTGGGCTGGCATGGTGAACGGTATGCTCATTGGACCATTTATTCTCCCAAATCGATTGGACGGGATACAATATGTAGACTTTTTACGCAACATTTTGCCTTCCTTGTTTGCCTGCGTCTGCTCGGTAGCACATCAGCTGATTTCATTTTCTGTTGGAGCGGTATGATTTCGGGCAGAGACGTACTTAGCCCTTCTCGTCAACTGGAGAGTGAGTACTTTTCCTTTATTTTTTTTTACTTGGTCGCCCTCGTTTCACTACACATTACCTTTGTTATTTCAAGGGTAGTTGTTTCTGAAAAGGAAAACCCCAACTTTGCGGACACCCTGTATGTTCGCGGATGAAGCCATGCCTATAACTTCCATCGGGTATCAATTATTAAAGTGTACAACTCTTTCGTCTCTCCGTATTACTATCCAAACGTCATGCTGGTAGACTGGACAGACATTCACATTTATATACAGCGTGACATAAAAGTCCCGAAACGGCTCTGTATTTTCTCAGCAAGAAATGCAACGGTGATCTTGAATTTGACCACGACCTTCGTCTTCAAGGTTAAATCATGGTCAACTTTATTTTTTCAAACAAAAAACCCTATTTTTGATAACGGCACTCGGAAGGACAGAAAATTCTACGTTCAAACACAATTAAAGTCCAAGGTCAGGATGACTACTAAAGGTCAAATGAAGATAAAATGTTTGCTGCTAGGAAAACCTGTATAAATCTCACAGGATGACTGATGAAAACAGCTATCAATGTCAGGGCTTTGATAAATTTTAACGAGGAAGCGAACACTGACCTTGGATTTGCCCTTGACCCTTAAAGTTTATTTCAAGGTCAACTTCATTTTTTTATATAAATTCCAATTTTTGATACACGCAGTCGAAAGAAAACTTTACGTTCAAATACGAATTGAAGTTCAAGGTCATGGTGTCCACTAAAAATCTAATGGAGGTCAAGTGTGTGCTGCCAGGATGGATCTTACAGGATTAGTGATTAGAATAACGATCAGCGTCAGTTTTTTAGTAAAACTTGACTAGTGACATTGGATTTGACCTTGAACCTAACCTTCACGGTAATATTTTTTTCAAATAGAAACCCGCAGGAACAGCATCGGTTAAAAATCACTTATAGCGAGCACCATAGTCCCTCATTAAAGGTTCCCAGAATATTTTTTTAAAGGAAACTTACGTTCGATTGTGTATCAAATTTCAAGATCAAGATGACCGCTAGCGGTTAAATAGGTTAAAAAAACGTTACATATGTGCTGCTAGGGAAACCTACAGAAATCTCACAGATATCGTGTAGCAAATAACTGGTAAAGTCAGGCATTTAACAAATTTTCACAAGTATCCAAGTGATCTTGAATTTGACCTTGAATTGCACCGTCAAGGTCATTTAAAGATCAACACTCCAAATACAAACGCCTGTTTGATGCCGGCAATCCAGAGAGCCAGAAATATTATGTGTACAAGTTCTCAAGGCTAAGGTGACCACTTGACGTCACATAAAGGCCAAATGAGTGCTGCTCGGAAAACTTTTAGAAATCTCACACGATTAGTGAAACAACTGGCAAGGTCAGATCTTTGAGTAAGTTTTCTAACCGATACTGTTCATGTCTGTTTCTATTTGACAAAAATGTACCTTGACGGTGAGGTTCAACGTCAAACCCAAGATAACTCGTCAGCATTTATTGCAGATCTGACCTTGACACATTTGACCTTTAGTAGTCATCCTGACTTCGCACGTTAATTGTGTTTGAACGTAAAAATTTCTGTTTTTTTTTTATTCCCGGCATCAAAAGTAGGGGTTTCCATTTGAAAAGACAAAGTTGAACGAACATCAACCTTGAGGGTGAAGGTCAATGTCAATTTAACCGTTGACCTTGATCTTTTCTAAAAATACCTTACCCGAGAAAATACACAGCCGTTTCGAGACTTTTGTGTCAGGGCTAATATGCAGGATCAAAATGTTGGATAAAAATTTGCTCAAGTAACTATTGCATCACTTTGTACTCGTATATTGAATTTCATTCTCCTCACAGTAACGTGAAATAATTACCTATACACTAGCGGAGTCGCAGGTTTAGCCTAGTTGATTATAATTTCTGCCACTAATGGGAAATTATTGATGTCACAAATAATTCATATACGTTGTCTACAGGTTCTGGTGCTACAAGATTTTTTCAGTATTCCATTGAGGGCTTGTACCACTTGGTAGACATCCTCCCTGAAAGAAAATTTGACAAAGAAGTATTTAAAAATAAGCTCCAAGAGATTCTGCGCATAATGACTGAATCAAGCAAAAACGGAAGCAGTTGTAGGCAGACAGTGCTTCATGGAGATCTGTGGTCGAATAATTTTATGTATAAGTATAACGAGGAAGGAATAGAAGATTGCAAGTTGGTAGATTTTCAGGTAGTTCAATTTCTTCAATTGCTTTTTTACAGTTTTTGCGTCGTAATACTCTGGGGAGTCTTTATTCAGGTTATCCTATTGTAAAGGTTTTTTATACACTGTAGCAGTAGTATATGCAGAAACTTAAATATAGAGAAACTTAAAGACGCCTTGTTAATCCGAGTTTTGAATTGCCTAAGGTTAGCAGAACTGGGAAAAACCTACTTAGCCGTCAGACTGTTCAACAATCACGTCACCCGAAGAATGAAGCGGTGGTACTGGCCAGATTGTATGTGATTCTATGAACTTCGACAGGCAAAAGCCTGGCGGGATCTATCTGAGAGGCTCAACGCGGTGGCATCACGGAGGAGATCTCTAAGGAGCAAAGCTTATTGACATAGCGGGAGAAGAGAGCAAGATCGCCGACCGCCCGTCGTCCCGAGACTGTCTGTTAAGAAAATGCCATTGATCAGTCGAAGAGCCCTCCTCTGACCAACATCGAGTATGGACAATGCAGTCGGAGCAGTAGCACTCAACAATATGTGAGCAGTAATCGAGGCTAGGTCTTATCTGTACCTCAAACAGAGTGAGTTGATGAGGAGGTTCTGCGGGTAAAAGTACTTCTTAGCACTAAACAAGAAACCTAGCTTTTTCATGCCAAATCAAGTCTACCGGATGAGTGCTGAAGCGCTTCGTGTTAGTCAAGGTGGTTTTGAAGCATTGAGCTGTACCAAATTGTTAGGTCCCCAAGCTGTGGTAACTTCCAGGTGTCGCTACAGAGAAGAAGTCGCTACACGCCTTTTTCTGACCAGCTGATCAGCAGAAATGCTGTCGTCGTTAAATCTGTAGATGATGATCGTGCAGGATAGGAGGACGTTGACTTGTAATAGAAACAATGTTGGGACCAACACCAATTTCTGGGGAGCACCTGCATTGATATTATGGGACAACGATTGATCTTGCTGATAGAGAGAAAGTCACCCGCCCATCTCCAAAGCTTCCCTGGCAGATTATACGCGCAGTAGGTCGAAAGTTTTGTGATGTTCAGACCATTAACGACTCGAACCTCACCATGAGACTGAAGCTGTGTGTAAACAAGCCATGTCTCCAACCCAAACGTTTTCTTAGAAGTCGATAGAGTTCCTACACAGGTCGTTTGACCGACAATATTACTAGGGCAGAAAGTGCGTCATGAAGTAATACAAGTTTCTAAAGACATTTACTTAGTACGGTCCCCTATCAAAATACAGAATCTTGGAACTATAATTTCGTAATCAAGAAATGTTATATTTCTGGAGCGGAAGCTGTCGTCTAAAAATTTGGCATATATAGAACGAACAGGATAACGGATGCATACAGAACAAGACATTTTATTTAAATTTTCGCTATATAGCGATAATGTACTGATACAGAGTGTTAACAAAATAGCAGCAGTATACCCAGAACAGCAAATGCGTCAAAAACCAACACTTTCTTAACAAAGTGTACACTGAGTTTGGGTTATAGAGCATAACAGAGAAAATTATCACCTTAACTGATCCCTCAGAAACCTTATGGGGAATGGCTTTCGGCGATTGTTTTTCCACGAGTTGCCGAGATACATGACGTACCAAGATTTAGAATAATATAATAAATATTATGTGTGGTTAAGAAGTTTGGAGGCCATGAAAAAAGGACTAAAATCAATAAATATGATTTTTATAATCACCCTAGTGGCCTCTACAAGCAGTTGATATATCTCCCTACGAATCACCCTGTTTATTCTATAAAAGTACGACGAACCAGAGATATTTTTAGAATTATCCAAATATACTAAGTGACATATAAATCCGAACACCCAGTTTAAATGGTTTTATTTTAATAAAAGTTGGTGAATGTATTTATCTTGCTGTAAATAACAAGTGACAAAATTTTCAGCCTTATCAGTTGGACATTCCGGTTTTTATACTGATTTTTTTTAATTCACTAACGCTCTAAAAATGAATATTTCAGCCGCAGTAAAGAATCAACGTTGGCGGATTTTGGTTCTTGACATCCTTTACGATCGGTTACGATGCCTAGAGTATGGAGACCTGTACGATTTCGTCAACTTTGATAGGGGCCGTATAGTGGGACTTCGGGAAGCTGGACTTTCTTTTCGGGAAATTGCTTCGAGAAGGCCGTACGCAAACAGCTAGGGGCACTGGACGCCGCCGTAGAACAACAGACCGTGAAGATCGCCGCCTAAGATTATTGGCCTTAAGGGACCGTTTCTCCACTACCAGGTCCATCGCAAATGAATGGTTTGCAGAACACGGAAGACCTACTGGCATGCGAAGTGTTTACCGACGAATGAGAAGTTTTGGCTTGTTTTCATACCGGCTACACTGGGTCCTCCCTTTAACTCGAGAACACCGACGTAATCGCCTTGAGTGGTGCAGACAACGGTCACTCTGGGATCAGGAATGGAACAGTATTGTCTTTAGTGACGAGTCTCGATTTTGTTTAGGCATGCACGATGGTCGTGCCAGGGTTAGAAGGCGACGTGGTGAAAGGAGGAATCCACAGTTTTTTGTTGAAAGACATGTTCATCACACTGTTGGAGTTATGGTTTGGGGTGCTATAGCTTATGGTTCCAGGTCACCTTTAATCTTCATCAGAGGTAACATGAACGCGCAGCGTTATATCCACGAAGTTCTAGAACCCCATCTTTTACCCTATCTTGACACCCTGGCAGATCCAACTGTCCAACAAGATAATGCCCGACCACATGTTGCAAGAGTCACAATACAATAGACTTCTTTCAACATAATGATGTCACATTGTTACCATGGCCACCAAAATCTCCCGACTTATCCCCAATTGAGCACGTGTGGGATATGATGTGTAAGAGATTGCTCAATTTGCAACGTCCTCCTCAGACTCTAGAAGCACTTCGAGAGGAGTTGGTGGTTGCCTGGAATGAGATACCACAGGAGGACATTGACCACCTGATCAGAAGCATGCCTAAGCGCGTTGGAGATTGCGCAGCACATCAGGGTGCATCCACACATTATTAAAGGACAAAGGGCTTTAAAGCAGTGCAATCATTTTGAAATTTTTATCATTTACTTATTATGCTCCATTAAGTACTTATACAAAATTTTATTAAAATAAAACCATTTAAACTGGGTGTTCGGATTTATATGTCACTTAGTATATGTATTAAGAAATATGAATGCATATGATGCCGTACTTGGGTATGGTGCAAAATTACATGACTTAACATAGAGCCATTTTAAAGGTGATTTCGGATCATAATTGTTACTGAGGCCTAGAATTCAGTTGTCATAAATCTAAAAGCAGCAGCATGTGATCATATACTGGAAAAACGATGTTACTGCATTTTTTCTTAGTTTTTATAATCTATTTGAATTACTCTTTTAAATGCAAAACACAATGATGCAGAATTTTATTTTATTCTAATATGATAAAGCAAAAGTAAATACTTTCAACATCTAATAATGCAATTTTATAACTAGATAATTGCGTCTCATAATTGCGTTCACAAAGAAAGTGTATAAATAAGCTAGAAACAGCATGCTTTCTTATATGATAGGATAAACGAAGAATATTTGTTATTATTTCGGTCCAACTAAGTATAACAGTAAATACTTATCTACAAACAACAAACAAAATTATTACTTAAAAAAACTAAATAAGTGACAGGTTATAATGGGTAAGAAGGCAGTACTCGCTTTTTCACTCCGATAAATTGATTTACTGTTTTTATGCTTAGGATATATACAGGGTGACTTCGAAGTTGAGTCATTTATTTTAACAGTGAATAGATCTGATCAAAAGAAATGTTTTTCTCCTTTACCATTTTTCTGGTAAAATTAAAGTAACAAAGTTATAGCCCTTTGGAAGTTTGAGTACCGCCCTGCCTCAATATCATGTGCTCGTGTTTGGCAACAACGGATATAATCCGCCTTACCGGTTCATCGCATCGGAAACAAAAAAGCGAAAGAATTTGGAACGATGTTTGTGTACAGTTTATTATTTTATTCAGTTCAGTTATACATACAGTCAGTGTCAGTGTCACCTGTGAATAGTGTCTGTTGCGTGGCTCAAACGAAATAAAAAATGGCACATGTTTATGCGGATCGGTTTCCCAATCGAGTGCAACCAACCCCTCGTGCCTTTGTTAATGTAGTACAACGGGCTCGTGAATCAGGTGACTTAAGACCTCACAGGGGACCTCACGATCAAATACAGGTCCGCACTGAAATACTTGTCGGGAGGATACTTTATAAAACAAGGTAAACATTTTTTTTTAATTTTTTTTTATTTTTACACACATATTTTGGTTTATCTTCCTTCTACAATCATTATCTGAAAATTAATGACTCAACTTCAAAGTCACCCTGTATATATACAGGGTGACTTCGAAGTTGAGTCATTTATTTTAACAGTGAGTAGATCTGATCAAAAGAAATGTTTTTTTCCTTTAACATTTTTCTGGTAAAATTAAAGTAACAAAGTTATAGCCCTTTAGAAGTTCGAGTACCGCCCTGTCTCAATAATAATATTATGTGCTCGTGTTTGGCAACAACGGATATAATCCGCCTTATCCGTTCATCGCATCGGAAACAAAAAAGCGAACGAATTTGAAACGATGTTTTTACTACAATGTACAATCTTATTCAGTTGTATTCAGTCGATGTGTCAGTCGGTAACGCGTGAGTGAATAGTGAATAAAAAATGGCACATGTTTACGAAAATGCTGAATGTAGTACAAAGGGCTCGTGAATCAGGTGATTTAAGACCTCACAGGGGAAGGCATGCCGGTGCTCCAAGACCGCACGATCAAATACAGGTCCGCACTGAAATACTTGTCGGGAGGATACTTTATAAAACAAGGTAACATTTTTTTTTATTTTTACACACATATTTTGGTTTATCTTCCTTATACAATCATTATCTGAAAATTAATGACTCAACTTCAAATATATATATATATATATATATATATATATATATATATATAATTTATTCAACAAAAAGAAAAAAAAAACTGTTTTTGTTAAGTGATATAATTTGTGATTGTATTCATAAAAACGATGTGTTGGCGTCAAAATTTGAAAAAGGCAGTAAGTGAACTTTTACCGAAGTACCGCAGTATGAAGATACAATTTTGACACCCAGCTCAACAGGAGAATACCCAGTACTTTTGTTATACCATTAAAGCAACACAAACACACACACAACAAAAACTTTATTGAGCTTGCAGAGTTCCGTTTCTTAATTACAATTTTTGTTACAAGTATTAAAATGATGCCATGATGTATCCCACCGGTTTATTTTTCAATGCATTCCCACAGAGTAGCATGATACTGAACAATATTTAAAAAAGTCTTTGCTTCGGAGCAATATATCATCCTTTCAAGCTTGAGTCACCCCGTACATGTGTTAGAATGGCAATGTTGCTGAACCGGCGGCCAGTATGGATACTGATGCGAACATAAACAAATATCAAATAACACACAATACGTTGTAATATGGTATGGACTACCAAACCTTGAGGCCCTGTATCTGGAAGACTACTCGTCGGAAAACTTTGGGCCCACGGATAATCTATTTCTACATGTTGAGATTCATACCATGCCAAAAAAATACTCAAAAGCCATTCCACATAGGTTTTCGCGAGGTATTTTTTGTACATAAGTACTAAGAGCATAGCATAGCAGTCTCGACCCTCGCAGGATAAGAAAGGAAACATATTTACTGCCCACCGACCCTCTTGGATTTTAATCCATCTATCGCCGTTTTGAGGAATGAGTAATTTCGCATGAATCTTCTCTCTTGGGTTTTATGTTAATCGTTCTTTTGCAGAAGAATATTTGAGGCAAATTTCATGCAAAAAGCTAAAATCTATAGGCTAGAAGCAATAGCTGGAAGTAAACACTACACTACTGTTTGAAGAATATTTATATTCTGTCCCTACTTAGTGGGGTGGCAGTTCACTATATTTAGTATCTTGGATAACCCTGTTTATTATTATATTCTTCAATATCTTTAAGTGTTGAAGACTGGAAAATATGCAACATACCATATTTCTAAAATGTGTTGACCAACCCTCGTATGTAACTTATTAAAACAAAACTCTTTTTTTACACTCATAGCCTCGCTTCGCAGGTAGGTACACTTATAAACTTTTAAACGAAGTTACTAGTACATTCCGAAGATTGCGATTCATTTCCTTTGGAGAAGTTTTCGACACCATAAACACAATTTCGGAATCGCGGTAAATGGAACCTCACGCAGGTCGGTTAGACGGGCGAGTTCTATCTCATTTTCTGATAACACAAACCGAAAAGTGCAACAATAGTTCACGTTATGAGAAAAACCAATAATATATTGACGCGAACTTGATCTACGAGCTACGTTAGCGATGGCTCAAAATGTGCACACTTTTGGCAGCGCTACAATATAAACAAAGCGGACGCATTCGATGCACCATCATAACTAAATATATACCTTTATTTCCATTCGAGTTAAAAAGTATCAGCAAATTGTCAATAATAAATGAGAAAAAAAATACTTTGAAAGTTGGGATCCAGCCAAAACAAAAAAAATAAATAAAACCTACATAATGTACACACAGAAACAACATAAACAAATAAATTAAAAAGATGTTGGTAAATAGAATAGAATAGAATAGAAATTTATTGGTTTCTCAGTTATAAACAAAAAACAAAGAAATTTATAACAGAGATAACACGTCATTGTGATACAGTGTAAATATCACACAATTTTTCTAAAGTACATACAAAACAAACATTCATAGACAACATACAACAACAGCGATATTAATGTTTACGGTTTCACTAGAGCACAGAACTCTTCAATACTATATGGATCCATTCGCATATATATTTATGAATGCTTTTTTGAATATAGTGAATGCTGAAATGGATTGAAGATGTCGCGGTAAAGCATTGTAAAGTTTGAGTTCTGAGTTATGTGGACATTTTTCGGTAGAATTTAGCTTATGTGATGGGTATAAGTATTTCTGACTTTTGCGAGTATTGTAACTACGGTTGAAGACGTTTTTTCCAAACTTTTCTTTATGGCTAAAGATAAGAGAGATAAGAGTGTTATAGATATAAATTCCCGGTAATGTTAATAAGCGTTTGACTTTAAATATACTTCTACATGACTCTCTAGGTTTCATTTTGAACATTGTTCTTATTATCCTCTTTTGTATGATAAAAATTCTATTGGCTGCGGGGCGATTACCCCAAATTGTTATTTGATAAGACATAATAGAATACGCAAGCCCATAGTAAGCAGCCTGCACAGCTTGCAAGGGTAGGTGACAAGTGAGTACTCGTAGTGCATAGCATGCTTTACTGAGTTTTGAAGCCATATTCTCAATGTGCTTATCAAATTCGAGACAGCTATCGTAGGTGACACCTAGGAGGTTTGTATCGCTTTTGATACATAGAGGTTCATTAATTACGGGTAGTTCTTTGGTGGCATGGCTTGACTGAAATAGGACACAACACGTTTTTTCTATGTTGAATGCTAACTTATTCATCTGCAACAGTTTTGAATATGGTTTATTTGTATCTCTATCAAGATTTGGATATCAGACCTTTATATGGTATCAGAATAGTTATATCATCTGCATAGATGAAACTTAGATTTTGCGTGTTTTTCGTGCTGGTGGATATATCATTAATATAAATAATAAACAATGTTGGACCCAGAGTACTGCCTTGAGGAACACCAGTACTATATGTCCGAGGACTAGATGTTATTCGTTTCCCGGTTTTGTTCAAAATTACTTTCTGTCTTCTATTACAGAGATAAGATTTAAGCCAGTAGCACGCATTCCCGTGTATACCATATTTATATAATTTGTTTAGCAATATTTCGTGATCAATGCAATCAAATGCTTTTGACAGGTCCACAAATAAACCACATGCTGCACCTTGATTCTCTCGATATTCATGGATTGCTGTGGTGAAATCGAACAGTGCCGTGTACACACCTCTACCTTTCATGAAGCCATGTTGGTTATTGGTGAAGTATTTATTTGAGTGGAAAAAATTAGTAAGACGGTTGTTATAAGCAATTTCAAAGATTTTTGAAAAATTCATCAGTAAGCTAATAGCACGGTAGTTGTTCATATCATCAGGATCGCCTTTTTTATAGATTGGTAATACGAGTGCAAATTTTAATGCTTCTGGAAATTCTCCTTCTATAAGAGATGTATTTAGGATATTAAGAAGAGGGTCAGATATTATGGTTATCATTTTTTTAATGATGAAAATTGGGACGTTGTCATCACCACAACTTTTTATGTTTTTTAGGTTCCATACAATTCTGAGCATATATATATATATAATAACAAATAAACAAAGAAATACGGACGAACAAAAAATTAATTGTTTGTATCAATACAGTTCACAATTCTGATGTTAAGTATTCTTCAATGCTGTACAAAGGGTTTTCCATCAATAGACTTTTAACTCGGCGTTGTAAAGCATTGAAATTGGTGAAAGCTCTGAAACCATTGGCAACTTTCCACATTGCTTAGCAATTCATATTTTTCAAAGTTCTTGTGAACATGACTTACACAAATAAAAATATAAAGTGAGTGTATCGTCATGATGTGGAGAGTTTTGAATAGTTCGCGACAAGAAGTGAGCTTATTACTAAATGTTGTTGTACGAATACTCTCTTTTGCACAAGTAGTGAGCTGCCACCCCAGCAAACGATACAGTAATTCATGGCTGACTGTACTTGAGCAAAATAACACAAAGCAATGGTTTGATATTTTGTTGACTAAACAGTCAATATGGTTTCTCCAAGTAAGCCTTGAATAATAATAATAATATAATAATAATAATATTTATTCGCCAAAATACAAAAAATGGGCAAATAAATATGAAAAAACCACAGAAGGCAGCGCCTGTGTGTGGTTTATATCTTAATAACTAACAATCAATCATATATGTGTATAACAATTATTGTTAAATCTAAAAGGTATTAATGTAATTGGAATTTTGTAGTTTTAGTTTTCTATATAATTATGTATAGTCATTCGCTGCACATTACTAACCCAGTCTTTCAATTTTCTTCTAAATTTTTTTCCAAAATTAAGTATCTTTATTTCGTTTGGTACTACATTATATAATTTAGCTGCTAAGAATTTAAATGATTTTTTGAATAATGTTTTGTGTGATCTTTGGATATTAGATGAGCCTATTCGAAATCGTGTGGTATGCTCGTGTTTATAGGATTTCTTCTTTTTATTACAATACTTATGGTATAAGGTGGTGGAAATAAAGTTGTCTTGCATCAAGTATCCCTGTTTCTTGATATAAGTTGTTCGTTGGATATAATCTTGGCTTATGGAAAATGGCTTTCAAAACAGTTTTTTGTGCTATATTCAGGTCAGAAATATATGTCTTGCAGGCGGCACCCCAGGCCCTAATGCCGTATATTATATGGGTTTCAACTAAGGCATGGTATAGGATTCGCAGATAACTTTCTGTAAGAATGTTAGCAAGCATTTTGAGTTTATAGGCAACATTTCTAATTTTTTTGATTACATATTTAATATGGTTATCCCACCTTAGATGTGAGTCTACAAATATTCCGAGATATTTCAAAGTGTTAACTGTATCGATTTTGGTATTTTGGCCATGATAATTAACGGAAATTTGTTCGAAGGTAGGTAAAAATTTTGAATAGGATGTAAATGCAATAAATTTTGTTTTTTTGAAGTTAACTGTTAAAATTTTAGTATCAAACCAGTCAATGATCCTTATAAAATCCTTTTCAGCTATTTGCTTCAGTGTGCTCCAGTCATCAACTTTATATAATACGAGGGTGTCATCTGCAAAACATATAATCTTTCCAGAACTGTCAATTTTGAATAAGTCATTTAAGTAGAGACTAAATAATAGTGGGCCTAGTACTGTTCCTTGAGGCACACCACACTTGATGTACATTTTTTTACTGTAAATGTTAGTGATTTTGACAGTCTGTGCCCGACTTGAAATGTAATTTTTTAAAAGGATTTGTGACGCTCCCCTAAATCCCAATCTTTCCATAACTTTCAGAAGCTCGACATGGTTAACCATATCAAAGGCATTTTTTAGATCAACAAAGATACCAATAGTAGGTATCTTTTTATTGACATCAGAGTTAATTTCATCTATTGCAGCCTAAATTGCATCTGTAGTAGATTTTCCTTTTCTAAATCCATATTGGTCAGAACATATAATTTTGTTTTTGTCCAAAAATTGTAATATCCTTTTTTGTAGTAATTTTCGAAAATTTTGGCTATATTCGATAGTACTGATATGGGTCTATAATTTGATGTTTCCATTCTGTCACCGCTTTTATAAACAGGAGTAATAACAGTTGTTTTAAATGCATCCGGACAAATTCCAGATTGGAAACACCAATTAATGAAAGTGGTTCGGCTAAGTCGTAGGCTATTATTTTTAAATGGTCAGCTTTGATACCATCTACACCAGGACTTTTTTTGGTGATAACATCAAGGAATTTAGAGACCTGAACTTCGTTCACCCTGGTTCCGTCAATTTTCAGGTCTCTCGCAAACAAAACTGCGTCAGTTACATATTCTGTTCATTTACGTACTAGGCCATTCCTTACACAGTACCTCTCCTTGTGATATGATGCTACTGACAACTCGGTACTGAGCTGAGTTGGATCTTTAGTTTTAACCCCCCACCGTGGCAAATAATGTAACAAAATGCTGTTCCATGAAACTGGGCGCGTCGTACAAGGTACCTTATTTCAGTTTAATTCAGTGGTTATTGAATGTCAAATTCGTAATATGCACAAAAAGTAAACAGTGCGTACCGCAACTTCAGAAATATCTTCATTAGGAAATGGGGTCACCATCTCCAACAGGTCTGTCCAATATCGCTTGTATCAACAATCTGTCTCCCAATTTTCAGACAGTCAAATACGGTCCCCCGGCTTTCGACGTGCTTCAGTTCATCATGACCAACGCCAGGCGATCTGTGCGTAAACATCACGAATCTGACCTGCTGCAGCATTACTACGATTACTTCAGCAAGCTGCTGACTCGGCAGGGATTCCAACCGGCTGAAATATTAAGTGAAAGGGAGTTTGCTGATGCCTGCAACATATTCAGGTATGTATGTTGGCAAAGTTTACAGGCCGCAAGCATTTTGATCACTGACGGAAATATGTCCCGTCCATTCAAAAAGCAGCACACGACGATGATGGTTGCAAGTAAAGAATTTTGTAGGTTAGGAACAAAAAAGCTTAGTTCAGATGACGCATGTCCAATGTGCGTCGACGTGCGCAGGTTTGTTGGGTCGGTGTTCAGATTGCACGCGGACAAATTCTATTTGTTTTGTGGTTAGTGTACGAGAGTGGAAGGCTATACTACAACTATTCAAAACTGCAATGACTCATACGCGTGATCAACACGTGATCAGAGCTCGATCCCGGCTTCCTTCCAGTACAGCCGTATAGCGTACGACATATGTCGTTTCTGTGGCTTTGCGGTGGTCAACAGCACAGACAGAGATGGAAATAATGGCTGATTGTTCTCCGCCGGTAGAACCAATGAAGTCAAAGACGCGCCTCGACCGGCAGACTCATAGGCGTCGGCAACGCATTGGAACGTGTTTCGTTGAGCGATCGCATATTGTGTGTTTTTATAAGAATTGTGGTGTGATTGTTATTGTTGTGGTTTCTGTGGTTACTGTATTGGTTATACTTAACCATGGAGAGTACAAATGGCACGAGTGGAAGTACTGAAAGCCAGGGAACAAGTAGACGGCTTCGTAAAGCACTGAAGAGGGACGCGAAAGAAATCGTACTCAACGTGTTCAATTATCTGAACAGAACTATGTCGCGCGTTGTGAAAGTATGACAGGCGTTCCAGAGTGGACCATTCGCAGGGTGGTGCATGAAAAGAAGAAAACTGGAGCTACTACTGATCCAAAGTTTAATTTGAAGGGACGAAAGGCCGTTAAATTGGATGACAATAGCAAAATGGCGTTAAGGCGAACCGTACATTCATTCTTCTTTAGGAATAAGATACCAACCCTCAAGGCTGTACATGCAGCAATCAAGGAAAATGAAATTATACCCCAAATGAGCGTCGAGGTAATTTGGAAATCCCTGCACGAAATTAATTTTCGTTACGAAACGCGTAATCGGAAGTCAGTATTGATAGAGAGACCCGAAATAGTCGCCTGGCGTCGAAAATACCTACGCGAAATGATTGAGTATAGGCGACAAAGCAGAAAAATCTATTATTTGGACGAGACATGGGTAAATGCAGGTCACACAGTTAAAAAAACCTGGATAGACAAAAACGTAGTGAGTAACCGACAAGCAAGCATTGAACGTTTGTCAACAGGACTTCGTGGACCGTCAGAGAAAGGTCAAAGATTGATCGTAACTCATATTGGTAGCGATAGTGGCTTTTTAGAAGAGTGTGACTTGATTTTCGTCTCTAAGAAAGGAGGTGATTACCATGACGAAATGAATGCCAGCTGCTTCGAGAGCTGGTTTCAAGGGGTGCTTCAGCGAGTTGAGCCCAACTCTGTGATCGTCATGGATAATGCTTCCTACCATAGTCGTCGAGCCGAACGTGTACCGACTATGGGAACTCGAAAAAGTGACATGCAGCAATGGTTGCGCGATAAGGGAATCCCGTTTGACGATTCATGTGTGAAAGCGGAATTGTATGACAAAATTAAACAGCACAAACCTGCGAACATTAGTTACGTGACTGATGAGATGGCCCGTCAATGTGGTGTCACTGTGCTGCGGTTACCGCCCTACCACTGTGAACTGAACCCAACCTCATCTGGGCTCAAGTGAAGGGTTATATTGCGCGCCATAACACAACCTTCAAATTACCAGACGTTAAGGTTTTACTTGAGACTTCCATACAGCTAGTAACGCCCGAAGCTTGGCAGAATGCTATCCGTCATGTTGTGAAGGAAGAAACAAAAATGTGGCAGCTTGACCACCACATCGACACCATCATAGAGCCAGTTATAGTCAATTTCAACGAGGAAAGCGATAGCGACAGTTTATTACTGTCAGATGTAAGTCGAAGCGACGACAAATAAAGGTAATTCCCAAATTTTTGACTTACAATATGTTTCAAACGACTCTTTATTAAGCATGTGACAAATCTAGTTCACCCATGTTAAACATTCATACCCCGCCTATGAACAGCCGACTACTGGTAGTTAAGTGATGTTCACGTGAACATCGATGAGTCATTACAGATTTAGATAGTTATAGTATAGAAGCTATTTGATATTTGGGCTTGATTAACATGTAAACGAATGGAATGAGGTAGTTGATCAAGGGTATTCTGTGTTCGCACGATATTAGGGAATTGAGAATGACTTTCAACATAGGTATTACTCAAACTCAAAATTTTTATCCCAGCCTTCCAGAATATGAACCAAGTTTTCTTCAGAATGTGAATCAAATCGTTGAATGGCAAGACAGAATGATTTGAATGTTTTTTTATTGTAATTACTAATTATAAATAAAGCATTTAATACAAGCATACCTACATTTGAATATAACAAGCAACGTATGTCCCAAATCACAGTTCTACTTTTAATTTCATCGATAATATGTTTTTTTTTATATTCTTCGGCTTCCATTTCAATACCCTATGGTAAAAGGCAATTTTACGAAAGACACACGCGAACACGCGTTATTTGCACTTGAGCTACAGGCTGAAAAAACTTGTGATGCGAACCATGGTTGACATTGCCATCTATGGGTACCTTCATCATTCGTGGTGCACACTCAGCTAAGGTCAATACCATTTACATATTGAAGGTCACACCACACATAGATCGGGGTCCTCTGAAAAAAACATAATAACAAACCTTATCTACTAGATGATATTCAGCCTTTGGTTACTTTAAGTCAATTTTTATCACTACGTCAAGACTGGTATCATGGGACGCTTATGCGGCAAACGTCCCCGTTTCAATTCGTAAAAGCAGACTTTTTCGTTCTTGAAGCAACGTTGTATACGATTGATTATTGACGTATGCCGGAGAGCAAATAGATCCATTAGAAAGTGATTGTATGCTCTAAGACGGCCTTAGGAGCTAATCCCCAGGAACCCAATCTTAACGGCACTTGACCTTGAAATGTTATTGACCTTTAGTTCGTGTGAAGTTGCATTTTTAGATAATTTTAACCCCGAAGTAGTGAGGCCTTGAATATCTACATGACTTTGATATTGAAGTGCTGTGGCATTGAAATGACCTAGCCACTACACATGACCCCGACCTTGATCTGAATCAAATGATCTTGAAATGTCATTCACTGAACTCAACTAGATCCTGTTCCATCACGCCATGGTTCTCTGCTCTCTTCCGCAAGGTCAGTCACATTCTCGAGGTTGTTTATAATTCCAAAGCCTGGTCACCTTGAAAGTTCAAGGTCATTCGACGCCAAAGTCGCGAGATTTTAGGGTCAAGACCATTTAAATGTAAAGGTTTAAGGTTACGTGAATCCAACGTCAAAGTCATCTAAAAATTTAAGGTAATTGGCATTTCACATCTCGTGACGTCAGCATAATAATAAACACTATTTACTAACCCCATCCAAACTGTGTTTGGTCAAAGTAACTTTTGGATACCACGTCAATAATTGTAGCATGGTACTTTTCTGAGTAACGATGAGACGCCTATGTGGCGGAGAACATTGTCCGACTTCTTAGAAATGCACTTATCCTGCTATCCTACGTAAGGGTCCGCAGTACCACGATTTGGAAACTAGGGTCTGTTCGTATAGTGATCGGTGGCTTGTCCGTGACTGTGTCTGGGATGTAGTCAAGCAGAATGAACAGAATTTGTGTGGCGAGATGTTGAACACGATGACTGACAGGTTGGCGACTGCTGTACGGACAGGATACTACTCATGAGTGATAGTGTTATCTTTATTTTTCACACACATATGTAAATGTCGGACAGATATTAAATGCGTTGGTGGGGTGTTATCTATGAACACGCCTGACTGAATATTTGGTCAGTCAAAAATTGGTTAGACTACTTCATTTAGAACCAGGCGGATGGCATTGTAGAAATGTCGCACGCGATAAATAAAGTAACATGACGTCAAGCCGTATAAGATTGTCGTACATGGCAGCACATAGGAAGAAACTAGTGTGACCATGCTGGATTGGATCTGTTTTCTTTCCGTCTCTGTATACATATACATGACTAACCTCATGCAACGATGTTTCACGCTTATTAACAACAGGTCTTGTTGTCGCAGATGGACAAACGAAAGGTAAACAACTGGGTGTCGCCTACTGAAAGACTCAGTATGTTGTGTGTATAGAAAGGACCATACTGAGAAACGCCATCTACATGTGGTTCACCAATACTTGATACATCTTCAGCCATACGCAGAAATTGACAGAAGGCCCCTACGTCTCTGCCTAACACTGAATTTCAGTTACTGTTCCATGAACAGATAACTGTCACCCACCACAGTTAAAAGGACGTCGAGGTACGGACATCCTCAAGTCTACTATCAAGTCGTGCTACACAAAATTACACAGGATGAACTAAATCTGATTGCTCTTCGTCTCTCTAATAATGACCAACCGCGTAAAACGTTGTTTCTTGCTTGTTAGCAATAGGTTCAACCGTTGAGAGACCCTACTATTAGTTATCCGTATACTTTGAGATAAGTAAATTAAAACACGTATGCAGCGGGGAGTTGCTTTTAGCGGTATGCTACAAGAATGTGCTGGTGGTATTAATTTCTTAAAGCTATGCGTTTCTAGGAAGGGATTTAAATAACGTTTTCGGTGTGTTACCCGATATGAATAGAAATAGTAATAGAATTTTTTTGGCTTCTTGGCTATAAAAAGCAATAAGAAATTTACAATATAGATAACACGTCATTGTGGTACAATGTAAATAACAGTTTTTTTAAGTACATACGAAAACAAACATACATAGACAACATATGACACAACGATATTGGTGACGCTTACGGTTTCACTAGAGTATAGAACTCTTCAATAATGCTTTTTTGAATATTGGGAGTGCTGGAATGGATTAAAGATATTGAGACAAAGCATTGTAAAGCTTCAGTGCTGAGTAATGTGGACATTTT